CCCCCCCCCTCTTATTTTAGACCATTCTTTGGCATGGAGAAAGAAAACAAAATACAGCTTTAATAAAAGTTCTGGAGATACCTGTCATGGCTATTGTGCATTGCTGTAGTTGTTTAGGAATCTTCTCATTTCAAACAAATGTTAACAGAAGAAATCATGACACTTAAGACTGAGTAATTCATTTTGGAGCTCCTGAGGCAGTGAGGGACCTGCATTGATTTGTGCATTTTCTCAGAAAACTATACAAAAGATATGTACAGAGAGAACAGATTTTGACTGGCTTCTGAATACGAGAAGCCCTGGGAGAAATCCCAGATTAAGCTTGTAACAGAATCTTTCTGTGAGATCTGACTTCACAAAAGAAAGAGTTTCTAAGCATATTCAGATGCAACCTGGTATGAATCAGTCTAGTTTAAAGTTTTTTCTTGTAATTGTTTGTCTGGAAAGAAAGGTATTATACTAAACAGGAACATTTGTACAGGTAGATAAAGCACTTGGTAACATTCATAGCAGCAGCAAGAAATTACCTTGGGCTCTTTTTTCCTAAAAGAAATAATTGCATTTCTACAGAAAGCATGAATTTAACTTTCTCACTATAGGAAAATTCTAGATTTATCATCATGGTTAATTTTTTTGTTTTTCCAAAGCACTGGAGAGCACTTGGCTGATGTTTATAAATGTGTTAAAATTGACTGTTTTTGAGTGATGGTGTAGGAATAAGGAACTTCTCCGTTGACTAAGTGATTTGAATTTACATGAGGTAGAAAGTCATATAGAAAGGAAATACTCAGTCTAGTGGTGATAAAGTCTATCTTACCAAGTTCTTAGCAGAGCTGTCCTTGTAGTTGCTAATTTATACTGCCAGACTGCATAAACTAGTCTGATACCATCTTCTCATCTGAATTTAAAATAAGAGGCAAAATCGAGCATTTAGAATGAGTCCTGGACTGCATCAAAAGAAGCACATCCAGCAGGCAGAGGGAGGTGGTCCTGCCCCTCTACCCTGCACTGGTGAGACCTCGCCTGGAGTACTGTGTCCAGATGTGGAGTTCTCAGTACAGGAGAGATGTGGATCTGTTGGACTGCATCCAGAGCAGGGCCACGGAAATGATCCAAGGGATGCATCAACTCTCCTAGAAGGACAGGCTGAGAGAGCTGAAGCTGTTCAGCCTGGAGAACAGAAGGCTCTGAGGTGATTTGATTGTGGCCTTTCGGTATCTAAAGGGAGCTATAAGAAGGAAGGGAACAGGCTCTTTAGCAGGATTTGCTGTGACTGGACAAGGGGAAATGATTTCAAACTTCTTTTTGAGGGGACATCTATATTGGATATAAGGATATAAGGAAGAAGTTTTTTACAGTGAGGGTGATGAGGGACTGGAACATGTTGCCCAGAGATGTAATGGATGCCTCGTCCCTGGGGACACTCAAGGACAGACTGGATGGGGCTCCGAGCAGTCTGATTTAGTTGTAGGTGTCCCTGTTCATTGCAGAAGGACAACATGACCTCTTCCAACTCAAACTCTATGATTCAAACATTTTGTTGTAGTGGTTTGCAAAAAGGGAAGTTGGAAATTTGGCTATAGAGAAGGCTGATGCATGAACAAGTGCTTGTTATCGATTGAAATTCTGGTTATGTAATACAGTTTCTGAGAATAAACAATATAATTCTTTAGAAGCTAACTTGAACAAATAATTCATGGAATCACAGAATGGCAAAGATTTGATCATCTAGTTCCAATCCTCCTGCTGTGAACAGAGTTGCCAATGACTACCTCACGTCACTGAGGGCCCCATCCACAAGCTTTGTTACTGTGGACAGTTGTAGAATATTTATCAGTTGTTTGAGCTGTGTGTGGCTGATTTTCATTGTGAAGAATAAAGTCCAGTGATCATGTGTGGATATATGTGTACAAATATTCAGTGTACAAATGCATCTTTCTTCTCAAATATTTCTGAATCACATTTCAGGTGGCTGGATTAAGGTGGAACCCCTCTTTAGACCAGAAAAAACTCAATGTGCTTTAATACTGAGAATGTGA